TCCAATGTGTTCTGACTGTATATATTTCATATTTTACTTCAAACTTCTCTTCTTCAAATATACTATTATTCCTCTATTCAATAATGAAGATCACAATCAATAAAATAGTTGGATTAGTGATCTCAATAAGAACGTTAAAATGATATTTCTTCTTGTATATCTGGAAGTCTTTCATAATTACAGTCAGCAAAACAGATAAACTTGCATTTTACACAGCGCAAGTAGAAAATCAGCGATAGACATGTCTACTTAATTTGCTACTTAAAACTTCTTAATTTGCTCATTCACAAAAATGCATTTCACTTAGAAATTCTATGGAAGCAAAGAGATGGATACTTGGTTTTATTAATGCAAAAATGTGAATGACAATATTTACAGGATCAAGATTGTAAAAACAATATCATCATCATGATAAATCTGATAGTGCAGCAGCATAACAATCAACAATTAACGGTATCCGTAAATATCTAATGAGCAAAATGCAATTTAAAACGATTCATGAGTTACGCCACTTTTGTAAAATACCAGGCTTGTCAAGGAAATCAAAAGCAGAAAAGATATTAACTGATTAATGCAGCCATGATCTTTTCTAAGTCCCAATAATTTTGAGCTTCAGGGAATCATAAAAACAAAATAAAATTTAAATAACTATTGGTTAGATCTTTTGGCTCATTAAAAACTGTTGTAAATTTACAAATATTATCAGGTGTGACCTAAGATATATACAGAAATTTCCAAAAACCTCTCAAAATTTAAAATTTGCAAACATGAAAAAATAAGGGATGAAAAAAAATGCAACTCTATATTACCAATTCAACTCAATATCACTGATATTCATCCCTAAGGACCCACACGTTTGAGTTTTTCTGTAATTTACACAAACGCTTCAAAATGGATCGAAATGCAAACGAATCTTCAGCTGACACACGATTCTGAAAGCATTCATTCATGAAAATGCACTAAGCCAATACAAAACTTGATAAAGAAGAACTTCAAAATTTTAAAAAACTTGAAAAAATATATGAATCTGATTAGATAGAGACGATTACACTTCTACCTTAAAACTCTGCAAAATTTCATCTGTCAACGCTTGTCCTTTCCTGTGAACCATGAATAAACGAATATCTTCTGCTAAGTTATCATATTTATCCGCTTTTTTCAAATTTGATGCCTCAGCTGTATTGAAAAGCGAAGGATATTGCTGAAAAAATTTAGGATATGAGGATGACGGGGTAAAAAACAAGCATACTCGAAGAATTTTAAAACAGACTTCTTCCAAATGTTCTTCATCGGCTATTTTTTCGATGTCCAAAGTACGTTGCTTCCTTTGACGAATAGCATTTAACAAGCTTCCACCACTTTCTTCGCTGAGTGAAAGAAAAATTATATTTACATCGAAACAGTAGTAAGCTTGATTGATTCAACTCATTTAAAAACAAAAAATTTTCATTAATTCATAACTCTGACTGCCGAACACTATTTTGGATTTGGTAAGCAATAATTTCAAGTGTAGTTGTAAAATCAGAATTTCATATGAAAAAACTGAATCAAAATCAAAGCACTTAGAAAAGAAAAGAAAATTGTACTTCAACAAAGCTGCGCCACTAAAATTCGGTTCCTCTGCATCATCATTACTATCTTCAGCAATAGATTGGAATCCAGGAGCTCTCCGCAAACCGAATCTTGGTTTTTCGAGAGGTTGTTTTGAAAGAGTCCTGAAAAGTGTATATAAATAATCGGATCGGTAGATTTCATTTTTAAAGTTTTTTGGATCATGTACTAGAAAGATGAAACCTTCTTGAACGTCTTACTGACGCTGCAGCTTTAGCAGCAACAGCATTCGCTTCATCTTCAATTAACTGCTCATCTGCAATACTTGCTAAGAAAATCTGGTCATGTTGAAGAGCTGAGATAATCCCTGTATTTGCTAGCAATTTTCCAAGTACATAATCATTCTGAAAAATTTTCTACACTGAATACAAACATTATTGAATATGATATTAAATATGAGTAAAATATGAGTGTATAATTGGATATATAATTCGAGTGTACAAACTATTAAATATGAATGTATAATTCGATTTTTCAAATTTTTTTCTGTGAGCAATACGCTTTTGAAAGCTCTACGGTAAATTATGCTCAAAAACCGTAAATATTAGTATCAAAAACAACATTACTTGTTCAGAAAATTCTTTTATCGCTTGTTTATATCGTCGTTTCTTTCCCAAATAAGGAATTTTAATACTTGAACTTTCATCAGTTGTTTGATTCCTTTGCCTGTCACTCTTGCTTTCTCTTTCATAACTTTTTGTTTTTCCTTCAGCTTTTTTACCAATTGATCTAAATAATAAATATCATTGTGCGGTAAACAAATAAGCAGAAACTACCGATACTTTAAAAAAACTATTCGAGAAAGTACAAACTTGCTAATTTTTCGAGCGAGTTTTCGCAATTCGCTAATTTTTTCAGCTGATAAATGCTTCTCAACAAAAGCTTTCGCATCATCATCATCATCATCATCATCATCATCTGTCATCTTCGTGTCAGGCTTTTCTCGCTTTTTCATCTTCTTTTGTTCTTTTTTGCGACTGCAACACTTTTCAAGTTCGTTATAGATTTATTGATTATTAAAGATTTCTGAAGATTTATCTAATCCTTATATAGTAATTCTTTAACATCTTATTTTAAAAACCTAAATTAAACAAAAGGAAAACTTTGCAACGCTTACTCTTTCTCACTTTTATCAAAAAAATTATGTCGAGTAATATTTCTTGCAGCGCCGCTTAAAATTGCTGCTGTTTCGGTGCCTTCCTTTTTGAGTACTTTTCTGTTGTCTATAATTAAAGGATCAAGTAAATAAATTTCAAAAAAATCTCCGATGAAGCAGCATTTAAAAAAAAAAAAACTAAAATTCCTCAAAATAATTTACTTAAGATACAAATTTAACAAAATAACCTAGACTGAATAATTCATGCAAATCGTTGGTTTTGAAGAATCTTCGTTGTTTCGGATCAACCAATATACGATTTGACAGAAAAACTTTAAAAATTTGCCTAAAATAATATCAAAAAGTAAAAAAATAAAAACATAGATTTGAG